GACAACGACATTGTTATTCACAATGAGAAGTCTGGTGACAAAAATCCCGATGGTACGTTTCATATTTAACAATATAGAATAGAAATATAATAGTTTTTGAACAAACCGAGATAACTGATACTCTTAAGAATTTGATCTGGTCTTTTATTAATTTTACTAATTATCGAAAATAAAAAAAATGTAAAGATATATTTTCTACGAGCTAATTCGTTTATTGAATTGAAACATAAATGATGCATCGACACGCATTTGAACATTCAAGCGATGCTAATTATGACTGTGCTTTGAATAGCATGAAATGAAAGTTAATTGCGAGAAATGTTGCATACAAAAAGCACCGCGCAAATCAATTTCTGTTGCAATCCTATAAAATGATAATTAATTTGGTCATCGTTATCCCCATCAGCATAGGAAATTATGTTATAGGCGTGTCAGTTAACACGTCACATCAGCGCGTTTGATGTTCGTTGGTTAAAAACAATTTTATTTTATTTATTTATCTATTTTTTAAAGTCTCTTTTGATATATTTCGGTTTTGAAAATTTTTAGTTAGATTTAAGCAATAATAAAATACTCGAAGAGGTATATAATATCTTAGAGTTAAGTTTATCATGCAGTAAAGATGTTTCATTGAGATTTATTCTTTTTAGATAAGGACGTTTGTCATTTCGGCAATTTGTCGATGCACCGCGGCGATGAGTTGAATCAAGCTACAGATTATAGTTTTGTGTGCATTAAGTGCGTTTGCGAGGTACCTCCTTTACCCACTTGTCAGCGTTTACCGGATGAGGAATGCGATGTCACAAAGCATCAGCCTTTCCAACATTAAACATTTCAAAATCTGTGATAATGTGATTACTTTCGTTGTATGACTCAGGATTATAGTAAATTAGTACGTAAATGTTAAAACTTCTATATATGTATGTTAATTATGTAATATGTTAATTATGTAATATTTCATAATATTCTAATGTATGCATTTCTGCTTTCGATTGACAATAGAAGCATATTTTTATATATTGCACGTTGAAAAAAAAAATGGATTACAAATCTTCTACACATATATTCCATGTAAATTATGATTATAGATAATATTAAGGATTTAAAACAAAATGTAGAATGGCAAATATTTTTAAAATGATTTTTATTATCTATTAACCCTTAAATGCCACATCTCTCAAGAATCTCGTAAATGACACATGGGGTCTAAAAGACCCCAGCATGAAAAATGTCTCCTTACTCATTGATTTTTTGACATTTAGTTATGAAAATTATTTTCAATGTTGTTCATAAGGCTTAGAAATGAAAATAAAATGCTTATATTGTTAAAATTTCAAGTTCAACATAGTATAAAAAATTAAGTAAACTGAGTACTGCTAAGTGTACAAACGGGTAGGTCAATCACTCAACTATCACCAATGGGAGCATGACCTTCATTTTTGGAGGGAACATTTGAAAATATATTGATGTAAAGGGTCTGGGGTCCGCTGGACCCCGGGTGGCATTTAAGGGTTAATAAATAAATGATAAATAAATGAATAAAGTTTTAAATTATTGTTTTATTACTTAATTCTGCTTAATAAACTGTAACGCGACGAATGTTTCGCGCATCTAAAAATCTATTATCTTTGATCTATATTTGTGATTATGATATATTAGTATTACTTAATTCTAATTCTATATTTCATCGATGTAAATTTGTAGTTACATATTTATTCGATAGGTTCTACAAAGTTTGCCTGTAAAGAGACATAAATATTGTTACAGCGTGATATTGTGCTATCTCTTTTGATAGATGCAACGTTATGTTCATCAGAATTATTCAACCGCGGTGATTTTCAAGATCATACTATTACGATTATCGCAAATATGCTTCCGCTTACGGTGCGCACTGGCGCGGCGCTGTAATAATCTACATATTGGGCAAACCAATTTCTGTTCTGGACATTGTCTGCTTAGTAATGTGCATAAGCTGGCAACAGAGTCATTCACACACGTTTCGCCAAACGTTACCTATTTCTCATTTAAACTCCCAAGTTTTACCGTTGACACTTCGTAAATTATTGCCGGCATTACAGACTCACTTGCATGTCTCGCGTTAACTCGCGATTTATCGTAATTTGCGGTTGAGAAGTCCGCGCTTTGCAACTCACGAATACGAAGAAACGAATTAATTTCAACGTTCGCTAAATTCATGGCCTTTAGTCCCTTTCACGAGCCAATGGAAAACCAATTGCGAGCATATGTGAACTATATTACATAAGTACTAATTTGACTTGCCAGCTTGTAATAAATTATAGATTGTGAACGCAAAACAAAAGCAAGATAAATGAAGTAAAAAAGCTCTAGATAAATAAAAAAAATAAAGTAAAGAAAATATTTCCACCTAACAAAAATTATATTGTTACGTGATTCGATATAAATTTAAATATAAATTTGAACTACTAGTAACATTTAATTGTAATAATTGATATTAGAGAAATATATGCCCGTCTATGAATTATTAATATACAGAATTTCCCATAATGATACCGTGCGTAATTAATCTCCTACTCTGGAAATTAATTATTTGAAAATCTGATTATCTAACTAATTAACTCATAGA